GGCCCCCCCACAATCACTCTCCTTCATTCTCCTCTTAGTATTTTGGACATGCCTGGTGTGTTTTTCAAGCCACCAGTCCAGAAGTTGAACTGTCCAGTTCTCCGTGTGGAAACCAGCTACCTCAAACAGGATACCACTGACTGGCCTACCACATAATTATTTTATACACATTTGTAGCCTGCAATGATTGTGAGTTTTTCTCTGTTAGAACACTTTTCTGTGAGAAAAAAAAACAAAAAAACAAAAAACAGAAAACTGTTTTTTTAAATTATTATTATTTTTATTATTTTGTTGTTGCTTTTAAAAACAGTATTCTGAACAATAGTTTAAATTCTGAAGTTGATTTTTTTTCAAAGAGAGATTTTTGCTGTAGGACACATGTGTTTGCCAGAGAGACAGAAAGTGAGAAAACATCCCCCAGTGGGGATGGCCACAGTGCAATCCCTTCTCCTCCATTCTCTTCTTGGGATTTTGGGCATGCACGCACACTCACAGGGCATGAGTTTTAAGTCACCAGGTCTGGTACTTGATCCGTGGTTCACTACATGAAAGTGCAGAGACATAACCATTATGCCATCTGCTGGCTCTCTACAGTTGCTATTTTAAGAGGATTTTTATTTTTACCACATGTTTATATATTTTAGTAATTTTTCTTTAAACCAGAAGAAATTGAGGCAGAGGGATAGAAAGTCCTTTATAGGAAATCTTTGCTCTTACAATGTTAACTGATATTTTTTTACATCATTCATTTTAAAAGTAGAAACAGCAAAAGTTCTGATTGTGAGGGGGTGGATTAGGATTGTTCCGGTACTGTGACTCTTATTCGGATATTGGATCTGTTGTGCTTATTGACTATTATAGTTTTTTCAAGTCATCAAGGACATCCTGCTTTGTAATCTTGGCCCATTCGTCAGGGATTTTACCTTTACTTGTAAAATTTTGCTTATATTTATTTTCTAGCTTTGATCTGAAGTGAGAGACAAACCATTTCCAGTATGGCTGGGTGGATGAGTCTGGGGTGATGCTCCACGTGGCATAATCCCCTCCTGCTTGCCGATAATTCTTATATGGGATTCGCAGGTCATCTCTAAAAAGAAAGGTAGCATCACTTGCTACCAAACTAGTGCAGCAATCAAGGGAAAAGTGTTCCGTTTTATACCACTTCCATCCATTGACAGCCTGAGGCCGGTGGAAGGGAACACTGTGGTCTCCTTCGTGTGTAGCAATTGTGTTTGTACAAATCGCTCCACAGAAGGGACATTGTTTCCAGCAGCCACAGAGATGTTCAGAGAGCATTTTCTCAATTTCAGGGACCATCAGTTCTACAGGCACACTCAAACAGTTCTCTTCTACTGTCTTCATTGCAGGATCCAAAGCTGCACTCATGGCTTCTTTGAGAAACTCAATATCTTTAATCTCCTGGTGCTCAATGCTTATCAAGTCTCTCCGTGGGAAGATCATGTTGCTCCCCAGATGATCACAGAACAAATCCAGCCACTCAGATGCAGTGCTGCTTTTATCTTTAGCTACTCTTGTGGATTCAAGAATGGCAGAGAGGATGGCATTCTTAATGTCCTCTAAACTGATTTTAAAGAAAGTCTTTATTTTTTCACCTCCTCTGTCCAAACAATATTTTTTAATATGGCTTTCAATGTAGCTCCTGAAAAATAATTCTGAATTATGGAGGTATTGCCAGTAATTATCAAAGTTTTCTTCTTCAGCCAGAGAGATAAGAATATGCTTCTCCAGGTTAGACCTATTTCCGTTGAATGCAGGGCAGGTAACTCGCATATCTCCAGCAATTTTAGGAGGCATTTTTTCCCATATGGTGGTAGAAACAGCAGGAGTGAGCTTATGCCACAGAAAATCAACAAATGTCTTGATGGAGGTTGCTCCTTGGCAAGAGATCTTAAAACTCATGAAAAAATCATCTTTCTTGCTTTCCAGGTAGTTCACAGGATCGTTTGCTCTCTTGAATGCCCTGTGTATTTCTTTAAACTCCTCTGATGCTCTTTGGAATAAACACAAAGCTAAGTCAATGTTATATTTACTTGTGAATGTGTATCTTCCTTCAGTGGCTGCTGATTTCACTTCATTATCTATTATTTTCAAGATTTTATGAAAATAACATGAGTTGTAATCACGCCGTTGCCTCCAAATATCACTCATAGTTTCATTAAATCTCAAAATGATTTGCTTAGTAATTATATTAATGGAGTCTATATCTTGGACTCCCAACTGCCTTGTACTAAAATAGCTTTTCTTATTCATTATCACATGTTTGTCATAATTGATTTGAAACTTGGGCTCTCCAGAATTTTTCTTCAGTATGCCTGCAATGTCGATCTCCTTATTGAAATATTCCAAAAGGATGTGTTCAGAATCCACATCAATGTTTGGCTCTTTAACTTGAGGAAGAGTTGAGGACACATCACAGACCCATTTTGTCCAAAGTGGATTGAATTTTTCACATAACTCTTCCTCACTCAATTCTTTATCCTTTATACTTAAAGCCAAATTTCGGCTTCTTTCCAATATTTCACTTTCATAATCTGTCTTTTTCTTATCCAGTCTTTTTTGACTTTCTCTAAAACTAATAAGTTCATTGGCTTTTCTTTTGCAGTCTTCAATGAGTCCCTCCTTAAGGATTCTTAGCTTCTGTTCAAAATTTGCTTTCCATTGAATTAGTATTTCACTTTCTGGGTCTTCTGTAAAATATTTGTAAAGTTCTTGCTTGACGGCTTCATATTTTTCTGTAACAGGAGACTCAAGTGTGCAAGTTTTGAATGTCTGTACTTTTCCATTCTGAATCTGGTTCATCAGCTGGTTCTGCAAGCTCAGCACGTGACTCCTCAGCTCCCAGGTCCATTCATTATACATGGTTTCCAGTTTACTCATGGCCATCACCTCTCGGGTGTTCCTGAAACTGAAAATAAAGTTCTCATTCAACAGGGCCCTCCACAAATCTTGAACTCTGAATTTTACATCTGATATCTTCATGAGACTTCCCCTGGATTCCTCTTTGGCGGTCATAAGAATTCTATTTTTTAGTTCCTGGACGTTGCGGCTGTAGCGAAGATTGGGAGGGGCCATTGGGGGATTGCCATCCCAGAGATGAGCAAAGTAGTAGATGTGAGTTTTGATATCAAACTTAATGACATCACTGAAGCGAGTTACGTCTGAGCACTGTTCTTGTTCTGCAGCTATGGCTGCCATTTCATCTAGCCTCTGCTCTAGTCTTCTTCGTCCTTCCATGGTTTGGTCTTTAGCTGTAACTTCTCCCACGTTCTGATGGACAAAGAGGCAACTTGGGGATATTTTCACTTGCTTCATCCTCAGAAAGGCTTGGACAACTATTTGTAGGATATCCTGCATCTCTGATGGGTTCTCTCCAAAAATGTTGATGAGAGTCAGGTTTCCAAGTCCAGTGACAAAGGTAGCCAACTCGTTGTCCCGATCCTGGCATTTATTGCTGAGTTCTGGAGCCCGAAGTCCTTCTGTGTCCACAACAAGCACAAAATCAAAGCCCAGTTCCTCTGTGAAGGTCTCCTCCACCTTCAGAAGCTGCATGTAGGCCCCCCGGGTACACCTGCCTGCACTGACAGTAAACTGCAGCCCAAACAGTGCATTCAGCAGGGTGGACTTCCCTGAACTCTGCAGGCCAACAATAGAGAGAACAAATAGCCGTTTGTCTCCAAGTTTCTCAGAGACCTTGTCAAAAACAGCTGCCACCCACTTTAGAGGCACATATGACACATCTCCATCCATCAGTTCAATGGGTGCCCCAGATATCATCAGGTCTGCAGCAATTTGGGGAAGGGAGAGAAATAGGGAATCATTTATGGAGGATGCCTCTTCCAGAGCTTCATAGATCTGGCCAATTTCTCTGAGAAGTTGATCGATTCCCAAGGTACATTTGCTAATCTCTGTGGAGATGGCTTCTATCTCCCTTTGCCAGCCTTTCAGGGAGGTGATCTTTGGCACCTTTTTCTTTTCATTCTGTACCTGTGACCACAAAGATCTTTGCTTCTCACGTAGTTTTTCCAAATGTCCTGCAGTCAAGTTGTCCAAAAACACACTCAGCCACTGCAAGAAGTAGAGTTTGCAGTGTGTCTCTGAATATTCTTGGAGAATTTGAAGGACAGATCGCATTAAATCATTGATAGGGAAGGCTCTAGCCAACTGTTCACGACGAATTATTTGTTTTGCTGTCTCAATCTCACTCTTGTGTTGTTCAATGCTTTGATTCCCCTTTTCTCTCAGATGATAAAGTTCTTTGTCTTTTTTACACCACAGATGCCACAGTTGTCCCTGAAGGGGTAGTAAGTTTTCCTTCATTTGACTTACATTCATTTCTCTTAGTAGGGCAATTACAACCTGTGCCTTTTCTTTGGCTTCCTTGCAATCTCTCTTATTTTCATCAATAAGGAACCCATGCTTGTGAGCAATCAGGGAACAATCCTCTAAACTGTGAGTTATATCTGAGAGCTCTAGCAAATGTCTGATTGTAGTTGTGAGCTCCTTTGTTAATTCTGCCTCATTTCTATCCTTGATACCAATAATCACTTTTTTGTCAGCATTTTTGTCCTTACTTTTATCTTTGTCATCAAGCAAACAAATCAAAGGTTGTGGTGACTGGCACAGGTCACGGACAATTTTCTTGTTTTCTTCATTTTTATCAGAAGTTGACATGAGGACCACAATGAGAGAAGAGATCTCCTGCAGGAATGTGAGCTGTCGCTGATTTTCCTTTGCATCTCCGTGAAGATTGGTGAAAGCCACACAGTTGTCAAATCTGTCCTCATCTTCTCCTCCAGGACAGAACCAGCAAATTTCTACTACACCCTCCATCAGGAGACAGTCTTTGCTGCTTCCTATGCAGTGTCGGTGGAAAAACACCTCATGTTTACGTTCACTGAGAACACAGTTCATGATCTGCGATTTGGAAGCAGAGAGGTCTTTTCCAACTCTAATGAAGGACACAATGGGGGTAGAGACGTGACACATCTGCAAATTCTTGAAACTCTTGTTTCCTTTTGGTAATTTTGTTGCTTGTTGCCAACTTTTCCTAATTTGACCAAGAGACCAAAGAGAGAATTCAATCTGCAAAGTGCAGGGATTAGGCACCACAAGGGGGAGGGCAAACTGACAAATGCTAAGTTTGGTCAAAATATATCGTCTGGCAAAATCATCTGCACAGTGAAAGATTGCCATTTGGATATCCATTGGGTGAATGTGGGGTCTGGAATGAGTTATCAAAAGTTCAGTGGAGCTGTTGCTATCTTCAGTATAGTCTTCATATGGATCAAAAACATTTTTCTGGCTTGAAGCACTTGGATAGACTTGGTGTTCTGTGTTTCCATCATCTTCAAAGATCAAGTGTCTCAGGCCATAATCCAGCATCAGTAGCTTCTGCAGAAAATAGAAGGGAAGTTCCTGTTCAGAGCTGGGATGAGTGTTGTACACAGAATTCTTATAGATCAAGTGGAAGTTTGCTTTACTCATCTTTTGTGGGTAATAGTGTTCTAGGCCTAGACGCTGGAGTAAGTCTAGAAAGGCTCCATTTTCTATCACTTCCTGCTTCTTATTTTTATTATCATGAGGTTCATAGGAGTGTTTCTTTTCATCTAAGAGACTTTGCAATTGCTTTATCATAACATCCATTTGCAAAGAAGGGCTTACGGCTTTATAATCCCCAGTGATGAGCAATCTCAAGTCTTTCTCTAGGTTTTCCCAATCATGGTCTGCCCCAAGTTTGGTGAGGACTTGTGCTACTTCTTTTGATAATGATAGCCCCTTGTGTTGTCTTATTAAAATCAGGCGTTGTGTTTTCTCTTCTGGAGAAAGAGCAGTGACTCCAACTGTGGCTGTCAGACTTGTGAGCACAAGGAAAGCCTGAGCCCTGTAGCTGCGAATATTTCTGAGCTCCTGGTATTTATCTTGGGCAGTTTCCATTTTATTCTGTAGAAAGCTTAACTCCTCATAACCCAGGAGATACTGAAAAGTTTTGTTTGCCTCATGATAACCTGCACCAGACGCAATGGAAAGTAGCAAGAGCTGCATTTCTGGCTGATCTTTTTCTTGGAGATAATTCAAGAAGCTGCTGAGAGCCAAGCTGACTTGGTAAGTGGCTTTTCGTTGAACTTCCTCCACCTTTTCTGGGGAATCATATTTGGCTTTCACTTCCATGAGGTCATTCTGGGTCTCTCTTAAGATTTTAATTAATCCTGAAAAGTTGGAGATGTTGATTTGCTTTTGTTGTGGCTCTGACTGGAAGATCCACTGCATGATGGAGTCGGTTTGAGGAAAATTTGTCACTCCGTAGATGTGTGGATCCAGAAGGCTGCGTAACTGAGATTTAATGAATTTAGTATTAAAATTGGAAGACGTTTTACAAAAGTCAACAATGTTGATTAGAAAATTCTGCAGATCCCAATTTGTGAGGCATACATTAATCCAAATGTCATAACTTTTTATTTTTTGACTCAACATTTGCATGAAATTTATCAGTTTTCTAAGCTGTTTCTCAGGATCAGATATTTCCCAGTGTTTCACATCCTCTAGGAAAAGTCTAGCTTCTTTCTCAACATTCAGTATTTCCTCTCCAACTTGGATGTCAGCTTTGAGACTAGTCAGATTTGTGTAGCTCTCTTTTAGAAAATTAGCCAGTTTAATGGGATTCTTAAAATCAGTTCTGTGGCTGGTGAGGATGATGTCCCAGATGGGTACCAGCTGAAGTCCCCGGTCAATGACACACCAGGTTTGATTGGTGGCACCAAGGCCATTTTCCCACTGGACAAGGCCATTGGCTTCTGGTGGACCACCTGTGTGAGCCACGGAGAGTTGGATTTGGGTTTGGAGATTTTGCAATGTTTTGTTCTGAGTGTCTGTTTTTGAACAAGAGTTTGACACATTTATGCCTGCACCAACCTTTGCTTGAAAGCCACTGTAGCTGCCACTTATGTAACAGTCCAGGGCCTTTGCTGATTGCCTTTTCACTTCTGCCAACTGTTTCCATTGGAAACCCTCTGAAACAGCCTTCCACCAGTAGATTCCTCCCAGGTGCAGAGGCCCTTGGTTAGCATGAGAACCAAAACTGTCGAAGAAGTGTTCAGTTCTGCCCCTCAATGAGGAGATTCTGTCTGGACCTGCATTTGGATCCAGAAGGCCTTCCATGCATTTCAGTTCTTGGAGAGCAGCCTTGGAGAATTGGAGCTGATCAATAGAAAAGTGGAAGGAGGCCATGGGGATGTATTTAAACTTGACTGAGCAGAAATATGAATGCTCAGAACTTGACTGTTTGGTTTCCTGAGATTCTGAATGTCTGCTGTAGTCTGTTCCAGCTTCTAGACTAATTCCCCAACCTCCACCCTTGATGGAGGCAGTTATACTAAAGCCCAGCTTCTCCATAGTCTGAGTGAACATGGATTCTGCTTGGGATGATGTAAATTCCTTTGTTTCCATTCGTGTGTGCTGCTCAGGGCCAGAGAGTGTAAATTCCTTGGGGACACTGAGTAGCTGCTCTCTCTTTTCAATTAGGCCACTTTGGAGGCGGGTTTTATAAATTCCCTGCAGGGCCAGCCCTCCAGATGCCCACTGCAATAGCTCTTTATCTGGGAGATTTTGCCTGTGAGACTGTGTCCCCTCTATTGAGTTTGGCTTTCTCTGCATGTTTTCCATGACTTCCCCTAGAGGTTGTGGAGGAAGTGGCTTATCTTTCTCATGGTTCTCCAATGCTTGCCTCATCTCAGTTTCTTTTGCCCTCAGTGTCTCTTCTTGTTGTCTCCTCCCTCCCTCAGCTCCTTCAGTTCCTGTTTTGCCTGCTGTGGCTCTTTCTTGATAATCCCCTCCTGAGATTCCAGTAACGAAAGACCATGTGAGCGTGACAGGATAAACAGCTTCTCCAGGGCCTTTTTCTCCCATGGATGTTGTCTGTGGGATTTCAGCTTCTGTAGATCTTTTTCTTCCAGGTGTTGTAAAGTTGGGGCACAGGTCACTCCTAGGTGCTCCTGCAGTTTGAGCAACTAGTATTCAGTAGCCAGTCCTACTTCGTCCAGCATCTTTTGGAGATCTTGTCCTTTTTAACATCTGGGCAGAGGCTTATCAGGGGTATACTGTGCTGTGGCCATGGCTGTGTGAAAAACAGACACTCAGTTAGCCCGACTGACCTGACCTTAGCAAGTGGGAGTCACATGGTCAAAATCATGAGTATACTAATGATGTAAGTCTTCATGTATTTTTTCCCCTCTCGTTTAATTGCTTTAACTATATTTTTCAACATTTTTGTGTGTATGTATAAGACAGTGTTGGTGCTCTTGACATGGGTAGCCTGCATAGCTGTCAGGATGAGTTGCAATTTAGCCTTATTCTGGCATTTCCTCTTACACAGAATCAATTCCACTGAGAACATTAAGCTGAGGGATGGACTTCAAATGCATATGTGGTTTCTCAACTAGGAGCAAATAAAAGCAGGCAGCTCTTTTACCCAAGATCCCTGCCCAGTTATGATGGGTTTCAGAGCCCTTTTTTGGGTCCCTTGTGACCATATTTCCATTCCTGCAGTCACAGTATAAAAAAGTACATAGAGCTGTATTTCTTCTGCTAATTCCAGTTTACTCTCTTTCCCAAACAGGAGCAGAGAGATACAGGCAGCTCTTTCACCCAAGATCCCTGCCTGTTCAGGTGGGAGATTAGAGTCAGTTTTGTATTCTTTGAGACCATCTCCCCATTTCTGCAGCCACAGTGTAAGAAGGTGGGCGGAGCTGTTTTTCTTGTGTTAATTCCAGTTTACCTCTTTCTGAACAGGCAACTCTTTCACCCAAGATCCATGTCCAGTTAGGATGGGGGGATCAGATCCTGTTTTTGTCATGCACCATACAGATTTTATATATTATCCTCATGTTGTCACCTCAGGTCAATCCCCAGCTACATAGTGACCTGATAAGTCTAGGTATATTCTAGATATATAAGTTCCAAACATCTGAGCACTGTGAGGCTGTGGAAGATCTCTCCACACTCACATTAATAAAAGGGGAGGGAAGGCCCTCTTTGTAAATCTGAACCCCAAGCTTCCACTGTGGATACTGCACTGACACAGTAGAAGAGGTAAAGTGGCATGTAGCTAGTGCAGATCAAAGAGTAGTATAGGTACACACAATTACAGAACTCTAAAGAACTGAAAAATTAAAGAACAAATAAAATCATCCTCAGATAAACTAAAGCTGAAAGAATTTACTAATGCTAGACCAGTTCTTCCAGAAGTACTGAAGAGGGGCTGGCAGGTGGTGTGGTGATTAAGGGCTCTGGACTCCCACATCACTGACCATGGTTCGAGTCCTGAACCTGGTGGCTTACTTTCTCACTTTCCCTCTCACTCTGCCTTTCTCTGGTCAAATTTAAATAAATAAAGTTAAATAAAATAATTTTTAAAAGAGAGAAAATAATCAACTTTTTTTTTTTAAACAAAGAAGTACTGAAGGGAGTACTATCTCAGAGAAACTAAAGAGCAAAAAACGGAACTAAGAGAGCAAAAAACAACCAAGAAAATGGCTAACAAGTCCACATGGCTCCAGCGAACTAGATATTTCAGGGTATGAAGATTTTCTACTGATAATTCAGCCTCCAGCAAACGAGCTAGCAGCAGAGGACAGGCCTTCAGAAGAAGGTTCCACATGGCTCCAGCGAACTAGATTTCAGGGTATGAAGATTTTCTACTGATAATTCAGCCTCCAGCAAACGAGCTAGCAGCAGA